AATGTATGGGATGTTTTGTTTGATCAGTTTGTTGTTTTGTTTGTTGTCTGGCTTTTTTGTATGAGTGTGTGATGTTTGCTGTATGTGTAAGCTGTTTGTTTTTTTTTGTATTTGGCATTTTTTGTTGTATATTGCTTGTCTTGTGTGTTATATAAACATATTTTTATTTCTACATCTGTATATTATGCTATACGTGTTGTGCAAATATTTTTGTAAGCATCATTGTGTGTGTATTTTGCAGGTATGTCCCTTTTTACTTTTTTGTGTTGTGTGTTGTATGTTTCTGTATTTGCTTGTTTGTTTATTGTTGTATCTGTAGGCATTCCTGGCTATGGTTATTACCGTATAATTTTTATCATTCATTTAACATTGATTTAAATCAGCATATCAGAATTTATGTGGTTTTCTGTTGTTTCATTGCAAACATTCAGTTATTTGTTATGCTTTCATACGTGGCACTTGCAATTTGCATCATTACATGCAGGTGATTGATGATCTCGTTATTAACTAACATTTAATCACGTTTTACTGTTTCACATTGCCATCGTTCTAAAAATTGGCTCATGGATGTCATCATGACAGTATTCAATGAGATTGACAATGACACAGTCATACAACATTTTAACAGGCTTGCCTTCAGTTGGCTGATGAAAAGAAGCAATGGGTTGATTATCAAGATAAGTTTTGTAAGTTCCAAGAGAAGTCCTTGAATGATATGTTGTCTCTCAACCAAGAAGTTAGTTTTATATTTTGTCAATTTAATCTTCAAAATTAAGATGAAATTTTTGCCTTAATAATTTTGATACTCAATATTTCAATTGCTGCAATTGCTGGCTGTGGTTCTTAACAAGTTTTGTCATGTATCACAGCTTGATAAAGTCGTAGAAGAAAGAAACAGTTTGTTGGATAAACTCCAATCCACAGAAGAACAACTGGCACACTACCAAACGAAGTGCAAATTCCACCAAGATGGTGCCGCCTTGCTTGCAGATGACAGGGTTGATTTAATTTCGAAGATCAATCTATTGGCTAGCTCTCTTGATTTTCTTGAAGGTTCCTTTGAGCGTGAGAAAGCAAATTGTTTTTGTTTGAAAAGTGAACTTGAAAAGGTTGGTTAATTTTTTATTATTTTGACTTTTTTCTGTCATTTTGTCACCTTGATTAACTTTTTATTTAAAGTTTCTGTTCTAATTTGTTTTTTATTTATCTGCAAATATTTAATCACATTTTGTTAAAAGTCATCATTAAATAATCCTAATTTGTTTTGCGAATTTTTTGAGTTCTGACATAAATTTTATTCTTGACAAGTCTCATTATTATTTTATCGAGTCTAAACCAACTGCCACTATTTCATCTCACCAACATCAAACATTTAACATTCCTCACTCAATAACTAATGAAGTTATTAAGTATTTTTATATGCAATTTCCATAAGTTGAAACGAGAAAATAAGGACATAAAAAGCAGTAACATGTCAGAAATTGAATCTTTGAAAAAGGCATATGAAGATATATTGAAAGCAAAAGATAACAAAATCAAACAAATTGAAGATAGCTTGTGTAAAAAAATTGAGGAGAGCAGAATAAAAACTTCTCCAAGTAGTTCAGCACCAGGGCCAGCAACAACAACACAACCACAATTTCAACAAGTGAACGAAGAAACGCAAACAGATTCAATCTGCGAGAATCTCAGTAACACAAATGGAGCCATATTTATGCCAAAAATCAACAATGTTGACAGCAACAATGCCACAGGTTTCGCAACGGGTAGCAACAACAGACATGTTGCCTCAAGCAACGATTTGTACAACATGGTGTTGAATAAAGATCTGATGTTAAACAGTACCAACACTATCAAAAAGAATTATTCAGCTGCCAACTCTTTTGGGGTTTGTTGTTACTCTTTCTTGTTATTAAGGCTGTAATTGGGATTGTGAATGTTGTAACTGTTGCTAAATAATATTTTTATTTGTTGCTGGTAATTCACTGTTACAGTTCTTTCATGTGTTCTGTGTGTTTATTATATATTTATCTGAATAAGGATAATTTTTTTCATATATAAAACATTTTCTTTCCAGCTGACTCCAAATAGCAGTTTCGGTGGTTTTGACATATTTGGACCTGAAATGGCTAACCTTCAAGAACTTCTCATTTTTCCTTCGTCATTAAATGGTTAATTTAAAATTATTTCTCTATTTTTATTTTTAAAAGTATTAAAAATGTTTTTTTTTAAATTTATTTAAATGCTACATCAGTAAATTTTTATGTCGTTCATTTTTATTATCATTATTACATTATTATTGTAAAATCATTTTACGAGATTTAAAATTTTAATCATAGTGTAAGGTTTTTGAATTAGAAAAAATAAATGGTATTAATTATTATTTAAAATAATGTTCGAAAGTGTGCCTTCTATTTATATATTATTGGATCACCACGACAAACCATTGTAGGAAGTCCAGGCCAGACATCAACCCCTAAAAAAGAAGCCACACCTGTTA